AATAGAATGAAGCTCACACCTTTGACGGCAACTGATATATTGCTTGTTGCTGTGCTTCCTCTCTTGGCTTAATACGGCAGAAAAATGTCCCTGCATTTGAGTCAGTAACATTCTCGATGACCAAGGAGAAATTCCCGTCAATGTCGTAGACGCCCTCCGGAATCTCATTTTGGGGCTCAACTCTCCCTCTAAAGAGGGAGATCAGCAAGGAAAGTGGTTCCGTGTTGGAGAAGTACCAGTAGACGTAAGCTCCATCAAGACTGCCTCGCGACAACTCCTGAGATTGGACGGTAGGGCAAGGGATGATCCCACGCTGGCCACGCTCCAGGAAGACTGTCCTGCCCTCAACGGTCACATTCATCCACATGCCACCAACTAAAAACAATTGAACACGTGACCCGAGAGCAGAATTCATTAGGAATTATTCACAATTCACATGGTGGTCAGTGTGCTTGTCGGTTGGTTATGTTAGTCTTTCTACCAGCCTGCTACCTGACCTTCCTGTACGGGCCCAACTTGCTCGCTTGCTTGCGCCCCCTTATGTTTGAGTTGAGTACATGATTAATGATCTTCCTAACAGACTTTCCGTAGATTTCTATTTCTTACAAATAATCTCCTACGCAAGGCTTCACTACTACAGAGGTGCGCCTGTCAGACTTTCATAGCCGGCATGCAGAGCAACATGCTCATGCAAATGGCCGCACTTTACACATACCCAGTACGAGAATGAAGGCTGATGCCAATCTGACTGGATTCATCTTGCTCTCTCCATACAATCTGCAATGAAACCAACAAATCTGTTTCACCCATCCACCAACTAAACAGCCCCTCCACCGTTGTGAGTACATGCAAATGCAACAAATTTTCATCAGGTCCACCCTTCAACAAACCTGTCCCATGAAGACAAATTCCTTTGATGGCTCGTGCACAAGAAAAGTTCTCACACGCAATTAAACTGCGTATGTTTTCAAAATTCATGCACAACTGAGCCTCACAAAATATTCATCCAGAGACTTGGGAAAAAGGGGTGAACACTGATTCTTAAACCTTTTACCATACGATGACAAAGGGAAGTAGTTCTGCATAGACTGCGCATGCATGTGCACTTTGAACTAAGTCCAAATGTATATAATGTCGTTACCTATGGGAAAACCCATTCTATGGTTGGTTAATACCTAATAACAAGCACACAATAATTCTCTGTATCATTATCAACAACTGGAATTTCCCAATCCTGCTTTCTGTTGACATAAATTTCTTCTATCATCAAAAACGTGTAGTGGGTCTTTTTTTCCATTTAGGTTAAATATTCTCAGTGAGAATCTACACAAACATTTTCTCATAAGTTATTCCCTGGTTTACTTTGTGAAATGTGTAAACCCTTATCTCGGATTTTCTATGAATCCTTAGGATCTGTCCTCACTTTTGTACCACAAGTGCTACACCCAGTGCCTTGTCAACAACTGATCCAGAGACTAGGAAATGACTGTGGAAACAAATTTGTGCCCAAAAGTTTGAATAACTTAATTGTTCAAAACTGATACAGTTCAACACAATCATTTCTGACATGAAATTCAAAATGCCATTTGCCATTTCCTTGAAATGTTGTTTTGTGCAAGGTTGAAGAAGACACGTCCCTCAGCAGTTAAAATCAGTTTCAAACTTGAAATAAAATTCAGTAAGACTCAGGTGTCTTAACACAAACTAAAGTGCCACCACAATTTCCATGAAAATTTGCATTTTGTCTTCATGGAAACTGTCTGATCAGTATACATCATTATAATGAACAATTCTAAATCACACCATATCCTAGAAACAGAACATTTTATTTGTAGATAAAGAACAGAAAATGTTTCCACTTTGAAACTACAACAGACATTCAAACATCTGTTTTACACGTTAAACTCTCATATCCTGTTAAACAGAACAGGAAAAGGAGTGGTTTCCTTGTCAAACAGATTTGCTCAGGGTAAACTTAAAATTTGTGAGCGCAACAATTTTTCCCCCCCACCAAATTTATTGTTAAAAGCTCCTAGTCTGAGAAATCACAAAGTTCAAGATGAAATTACGTTCGTAAGAGCCACAAAGAGTGCCTTCCTTGTTTTCACAAACAGAACACCCGTAAGTATTTGTATCTTTTTGAAAGTGAAACAAAATCTGCTCTTTAAACATTCACCAATATCGATGCCATTTGAACTAAGTAAATGTACCCTAAGAAAAACAGAAGCTGTTGAAAGTGGTTTTTATGTGAACGTAGACCTGCCTGTCTTACAAACCCGTCTAAGAAATAAAGAGCAGTTCTAAATCAGTGATGACTTTAGAAATGTACAAAGGTATTTCACGCCACTGTTCCATCACAAAGGTTTAAACATTTTCTGCAGCCTCCCTTGCATGCGTTTCTTTAAAATGTTTGTTGTCTTTGTTTTTTATTCCTTTTTTTATCACCTCTGAAAGTCCAGTGTGCATCATAACACACTGTAAGATTGTGTGCTCAGTACAAACGGACTTCATGCCCAGGCTGTATATGGCTTCCAACAATCTGCAAACTACAAAAAGCCTGCAAACTCGGGGGGGGGATCTCATTTCAAAAGTGTTTATGAAACAGACAATGTCTACTTTTAAAACCCCTAATTTTTACCTCGCTTCAAGGTCAAAACACAACAACTAGCCAAATGAAGCTTTGACTTTCTGTACCAAGCAATACCTGTATCCAACGAGCCACTTGCATGGGTGACAGCTGTCTCGTGTAGACCACATATTTTGTTTTCCAATTTTCGCCATTAGTTTGGCAAACCCCCCCCCCATTAGTTGAAAGCATCAGCAGTGGTGTAACCACACTTTTATCTTTTTGAATAATGGATCTGCCAATGTTTAGCCTATTGCAGCCAAATAGGAGGAAAATCCTAAAAAAGTGACTAATTTTTATTTTTGCCTTGATATGAATATTACACAAAAATCTCTGAATTCTGTACTAGGGCCTAAATAACCTGATTTTCCTCCCTTTTTGAAACGATCTTCCACAACTGTAAATTAGAAAAGAACAGACGAGTGACTGATGGTGGAATTATTCACAAATCATTATCATGTAATATCCTGATTGCACAAAGACTGAGCGATTGCACAGACAGACCAATTCCGCCCAAACTGCTACCCCTAAAGCTGTCTGTGCCCCCTGAAACTATCCCAAGAACTACCCCCATTCATTCATTCCAAGGATGATTCATCTCAGTTCTAGCTTACTCTTTGTTTGCCATCGCATTGCAATTTCATTAAGGCCTAACTTGAAAAATTGGTTACTGTAAACTTCCGTGGTTGGCCTCAACTGAAGAATATGGCACTGTCATACCTGTGCCTGTTCAGTTGCTGAGTAGGCAAAGTATCAGGAAATTAGGCCGCTATTTTGACATGACCCCTATGCTACGTGAGCTACACTGGCTCCCGGTCATAGTACGAGTGGAATTTAAGATACTCTGTATTATTTTTAAACTCATCCGCCATTGTGACTCGGCGCCACAGTACCTTATTGAACTGTTGTTAGTGCAAGATCCTAACACTGGTAACATCCGTACGAGAGGTTGTCATGCCGTTAAGCTCAATCAACCTAAAATACGCCCAATGCCAAATAAAGCATATGGCAATTGTGCATTTTCCGTCTATGCCCCCATGCTATGGAATCGGCTTCCTGCCTATCTTAGGAACATTGATCAGTGAAGTGTCGATTTTTAAAGTACAGTTCAAAACGTTTCTTTTTAAAATGGTTTTTAATTAATCCCATGTTTTAAAGCATTTTATAATTAATGTGTTTTTCTTGTAGAGCGTTTTGAGATATTTTATGGAAAATGCTATATTAAGAATAAATTATTATTAGTATTATTATTATTAGGTGCAGCAGCAAGTTAAACCACATAATTATCTGGACCATGAATCGGTAGAATATCCACAGCCAAATAAGCAAAATATGTTTGTCACTGTTCAGCGCAATCTTGCATCTAGCACAGAGTTTAAGTACTCCATCTAGCCTTGATTCGCCTTTGAATGAAATCCATTCATCAACTCAGTCTGAGAAGGGAGTACAATAAATTGGGGCAAAACTCAAAGGCAAGATAGCGCTGAACATGATTCACATTGCGCTGGGAAAAATGGTTAAGTTACCTTCCTCGGGAAGATGACAACGTTTTTGAGAATTCACAGGTAGGCGTAGCTTTGGTGGGAACACGAGAAGAATGTGCCCGTAGCAGACTTAAGTTCACATGATCTTGATTCCTGGACCAAATTGAATAGGGTTTGAATTGACACTAACGCTCGGTGTTGATGTTGTGCTTCAGCGTTAAAATGAACAAAATGGCCGGCCTAACTCGGCACGCCCAGACAAAATCATAATATTAATAATAATTATACATGCTTACATCGAGAAACTAAGCAATATAGAACATCTTGTTCCCAGGTGCTACGCTCCACCATGGACGACTTTGGCCAACCGACTACAGGATGCAGGACCCGCTCAAGGAAGACGAGGTTGTCAAATGTTATGCGCAGCACATCGGGGTCAGCGCGCGCACGCACGGTTTCGCCGGGAAGGTAAAGGGGAAGTCCCTGATTGTGCAATGTCACCTGGGATTTCCAGCCCAGATTTTTTTGGATTTTGACACAGCGGCATCTTGAATCCTAACCTCGTCATAGAATGTGTAAAAAAGCAAGAGTGGAAAAAACCATGAACACCCCATCTGGGCAAGTTATACCAATTTTGTGATTGATTATTATTTTACTGAATTAACTCAGGATACAAAAAAATCCATCTTTTTTGTCAAAGGTAAAAAAGCTAGACATGCCCTTGTTTTGTTTTCAAATTAAGGTTTCGAGTTCGTGGTTTAATATACAAGATTAAGGGATGTTACGGTTACCATTTGGAAAGGTTTTTACTGTCGTAACGTAGGGATTAATTTTTTTTTAGTGATGCAAATATACATGCTTCAAAGTTTAAAGCCTTCCCCTAAAGTAGCAATATTGTCTCTTACATTAAAAAAGTGATAATCATGGACCGAATTTAATGTCTCCGTTGCACGGAGAAACTGTGCAGATATGAAAAACAATGAAGGGGGGGGTAGCCGCCTATAGGCAGAATTTTCAGTGTTTTCCTGTAGCAAAATAGAATTTTGACCTGTTTATATAAACTGACATGCAGGTATAGTAGGCTAAATGAAGATATGAGTAAAATATAATCATCGATTTCGGTTTATCTTTGTAAAAACACTGGGATTTAACCATCCCGATGTTATTCAAAATCCATTTACCGTCCCGTTTCTCTTGTTGCTTCTAAGTTCTTCAGTCCACTCGTTGCACCATGCTGCGGTGCAACGCAACACTGATGCACTCTGTTTGACCTCGGACACGTATAGGTCAAGTTGCTGTCTACTACGGTGACATGGACCGTGTTATTGCAAGTCACCGTTTGGTGTAATATGAAGACCCACCGGCGTGCATTTTATCGGAAACTTGATCAACGAGATGTTCAACTTTTTTTAAAATCCTCGCATGACAGACACCAAACTTAAGACCTTGCTTCTTTTTGTCAATGTTGTGTTCTCAATGTTTTATTTCTGTGAAGAAACTTGGAAAAGATGAAGTATGAAAACACGTTCTAAATTGTAAGAGGAAACAATCCAGAACTGCAAAGTCTGCAAGTTTTCTAAAATGATACAAGATTGCAGTTAAGAGCTACATTGATCGGTGGTTTCAAGTTACAGTGTAAAACAGCAGTGATGTACCCATGGATAGTTGTTAAATCCAGATTGATTCGAGCTTTGTTTTGAATTGATACCTTTTCAGGCTTAATCTTTGAATGTTTGTATCCATGTTCAACAATACGGAGAGCCAAACAATCACTCGCGTCAAACGTTCCCGAAACGTAATGCCCCAAATCCTGCCGATGATATTGGTCCTAGGTTTTCACACACAGTTTTTTGAGATTAAAGAGACAAAAGGCTGGAGTGCTTCATTGGTAAACCAGATAGAAAATGCCCAATGTACAAGGAAAGACATCAGAATTTTAAGTCAAAAGAGTTGCCCAAATAGGTTATATATTCTTTCTTTATGTACGCGTGATGCCTGAAATTGAAATTCCTGCAGACCAGCACCATTAATGAGTACCCTGATTATACTAAAAAGTCCTTTATTCCGAAAGGTTTACGATTTTGAACATTATCTTGGAGGTTAAATTGTCCATTCTAAGCAAAGACGTGATGTAATGATATAAAACGCTGTTTTAAGATTCAGACTGAAAAGACAGCCAAATATGATTAGTTCTTTTACGGTAAGAAGCCTCCAACTCATCTACGTGCTATGGAAAAATCCTGCTAGTTAAAATGATTTTGCCAGAATTTCAAAGATTCAAGACTATTTTCTTCAACAAATAAAATTCAGAAGCTGCAAATGCTTGCTTTATCCAGAGCCACATTCCACAGAATCTTCAGCCGAGTTGGTCACTGCTCAAATTCCATTTAGTACAAATCTCACTCAGGTGTCGTCGCTATCCGACATGTCGCCATCCGTCACGTCTATATCGACGTTGGCTTCTACGTCACCTTCTTGCGGGTTGGCGTAGTCCGTCATTTGCTTGAAACTCTCTTTTCGGTTTTCCTGTAAACAATTATGAACACAAACAACAAACAAATATTAAAATTAATATTGTTTAAAGAAATCCGAGCGACATAGACATTTATCTTTGTCAGTCAGATTTCTTTTGTAACGGTAGTTCACGCGGCTCGGTGGTGCTACCACCCCGAGCTGAAATGCACCCCCAATCGGCGAAAGAAAGACAGGTGGTTCCACCGGGTTCTTACACTCGTTCTGCGTGTACGCAAAGACTATACACGCTGGAGTGAATTAGTTACGCGTACTCAACGTGCTCCGCGTCAAACGCACATTGCGCGCCTCATGGCGCGCCTATGCGGTGAGTACCAAAAAACGGGCCCTCTGTTGTTCCGCCCGGATGACCTAGCTCGATGGTTGGTCATCACCATGACGCCGTATCTGACTCTCGAGTCTAGGAGATATTGTGAACATGTAGGCAAGCGGCAACCAACCGTTGATATGAATCAAACCAGGAGAATAAAGCCTGAAGTTGTCCAAGGTCTCTCCAACATGGAAACAGTTCAGCCACACAGGAGCGGGCGTAGATTTCAAGAAAGGTAGTGGGCTGCGTGACCTGATATGAGCGTGTCGAAGGCCTATCTCGCGAAGGGGCAGTCTGGGCATTTTTCAAATCCGTAAGCTTTCTGCCACATTTTAGAGCATTTCGTGGCTATTTTAGGGAATATGAATCGATAACCTTCGGGCCACCATTGATCAGAATTTTAGCACCTGCTGATCAACCCGAATAAATGATTTTTTCCAAATTATTAACCGACCCGCATTGTATCATTATATTTCTACCGTTTCTCAGACGGCAAAAGTAAGGGGCACTGTGTTGTGGAAATGAAGTTACAATTTATAGCTACACAGTTAAACGCAGGGGTTGAAGAATATTACAAGTTTGTGGGATTAATAGTAGTAAAGGTCTTCATCATAAAGTCATGATAAACCATCAAAATACAAATCTCGACAATGCTGCCATGGTGGTACATTACAATGACACATAAAATATTTTGGCATTCATCGAACGTTTGACAATACGCTTACATCGTACATCTCCATTAGGTCGCTCTTGTTGCTGAAAGTAAACAAACAAAAAAGGGACATTAATTTATCGTTTAACTGTCTGTTTTTTTTAAAGTTTCCCTGATTAGTAGGCCGATAACAAGTCTTGAAATATTACCCCTCCATCTATTTTAAAAATATAAATTACTTGTAATAGAGACGATGGTCTGAAAACCATCCTCTCAAATTACTGGATAAAGCCCATAAATATCAGGATTTGTCTATATTTTGAAATCTCCCATCGGCAAAAGCTCACCTCTTTTTCCCCTTGATGAGTACATACACAGTAGCGACTACAACGGCGAGTATCAACACCCCGCTTACAGAAATCAATGTGATAGCCCACCATTCCAAGACTGGACCGGGGTCTGCGGGTTTGGTCGGAACACCTAGATCGTCCAGATCAAGTCTACGGAGGGAAATGATGTGAAATAATCATCAAAGAATATTGTCATTTATGTAGCATTTATGCATCCCTGTGTCATGGCATGAAGAGTCTATATAGTGACAAATAGACCGCTTGCCCCCCCCCACTGAGTCACATGACCTGTGGTGGGTATTTCTCCCATAGCAAAGTGTGTTTTAAGTGTTGTTTACCAGAAAATGAAGTCGGCTTTCGATAGTCATCACATCAGGAGTCCGGGTACCGACCGTAATCTTTGTTTTTGGTAAATGACACCCATGACACACTTGGGGGGGGGGCAGTGTTTGTTGAGACGTCACGTGACTTAGCGGGCGCAATCGGTTTATTTACAGCGAAACACTTGACTCTAATTTCAAATCTTATAGCTGTGGGTGCTTCGTTTCTTTGAGTGCCATGTTCAACCATTCACCTGTATCCCAGATCCGCCTCAATTGCCTTTCGCTCTGTAGTAATCATGTTCATGAGCTGTTCTGATGTCATGGTGAGACTTGTACTGTCGTAAGGGTTTATGATGTAGAAAGACGCAGCCGTCCGCTTCATCTCTGAAAGAGCCCGAGTTTTATACACCGACACATCATCCGCACTGTGGATAAAAAGACAGAAAAACGGCAACAAAAGCACCTTCAAAGCTCTGCAGACAACGGGACCAAACTAAAGCTATTTCTCAGTTCTTATAATGCTCTTCTTTTTCAGAAAATAAAAAATAAAATCTGTGAAACTGTTATTTTTTATACATTGAATAGGAATAGTTAGCATGCATGGGCTGCGCAGTGGATGAGTGATGCCTGGCTACAACCATGTGCTACTGCAGAGAATACCGTTGTTACAAAGGCAATGAAATAATTACAGTTGTTGGGAATCCAGCATTATCAGAGATGGGGCAGCATTCAAAAGGAGGTGGAAGCAACGATTTGAAGTGAACCAGACAGTGCGGGGGGGGGGGACATTTTTAGTGATATTTTAAGTTATTAAATAACCAGTCTAGGACCCCCCCCCAAAAAGGAAAAAACAAGAAAAGCAAACAACCAACAAAAAAGCAAAGAAAAACCAAAAGGTATCTACCTTGAAAACAAAATGGAAATTTCTCACTCATTTCTAGGTACTTGAATAAAACTCCTAATGAAATGCAATGAAATTGGACCCGGGCAAATTCCTTTGCCTGGCAGGTGAGGAGACATCCTTTTTAGTCAAATCTTACATCAGGTTAGCTCAAGCCTATAAGCTAACTGACTTACTCTGCTGTCCCTGGAATAATGAGGCATTTTCCTTTAGTTGCGCAGTAATGGTTGCAGGTGGCAGCCATCGTGCCCTTGAACTTGTCCCTCTCATTGTCCGTCATGAACTACGGATTAATGACAACGTCTCGAAAAAGGAAATTATGTTTATGTTGGAATTCTATTCAAGTCACCAACAGTGTCTTTTGTCTATTTTACAAAATACAAGTAGCATTTATATAGACATTCTAGGGTTAAATACAGTAAATGCATCTACTTTCAGAAGGCAAAGAGTGAAAAGGAGTGATTCCCCTCCAAAAACCACTCCAAAAGAATGAAAACTACACTAAAAAGGGTGATGACAGCTCCATAAGACTGAATATCACTCAGAAATAGGGGCCGCATAAAGAACAACTCCTTTTCGACTTTGCCTCTGTATATTGCTTCGTGGTAGAGTGGAAATTCCACTGTTTTGCCTATCGATTGGGCTGGAAGCAAGACTCAAGAAGAAATTCGATTAAAACACAAAGATGACAGAGTTTACATGATTATTTGAGGAAGAAAATCCTACCAGGGAGTATTCAATGTCAAGTTTGAGTTCAATTGCTCCTCGGTTGATGAGGTCCATTGGATCTCTGGTGGGGGCGGCAGTCGTCAGCGGATCAGTTCTGTTCCGAAACATGGGCGGCATATTTGGGGGTGGGGGAGGGGGCGGTGGAGGAATCGGTCGCTTAGGAGCTGGTGTCGTACCTTTAAATTAAAAGTTTTATGAATGAATAAAACAATCGTTTTCTCCACAGTAGTTGGTTTTTACCAGTGAAGCATATCTAACAGTGTAACTGACACGAATCGGTATTTTTGAAACCTCAGTCTCATCTGTTTCTTCGCCCCGGCTTGAAGTGGAAGATCTGTTTATGGGATTAAAGATTTTCTTGACAGAAGAGGCAGTAGGGAGTAGCTTGCCATAGCACCATGTACAAGAAAAAAGTGCGACTAAGAAAGGTTCTGAAACGAACCAGTAGACTCGGGCAAACTGCTCTGCACGTCATCAGGCGATGGCTACGTATTCTCTGCTAAGAATTTGGAGAAAACAGAAAAAAGGTCTGCGGGCCCTAATAATTTGGAATCATGATGAATCATGATGACGATGAACTATAATGATCCCTTCAATGCTCCTTTACGTCATCTAACCCGAGTCGCGTAACCAGTCGCAAACCTACCTTGACCACATGCATTTTGAAGCAGAAGCGCTGCAGAGAACAACAGAAGTCCGTGGACAACTCTCCTCATCTCGTCACCATTCAAATATGTACTTTTGCCGAAAAAAAAAACTGTCTTAGAAGCAGAAGTTCAGTTCATCGAGATCAGACCAACGATAACTACATGGGATCTAAGCTGTCCGTATGAATCGCTCGCTGACTAGTCGGACATCAATAATTGTAGAATATTTGTTAAGAGTTTTCAAGTGTTGAGATAAAATGTCCCTAGCAAACGCATTGTACATGTACTCTGTTACACTATTGTCATGTTATATATTAACTCGTGACGAAGACATTAATTGACCAAAGGTCGGGGTTATTATATCCCACCAACACATGACTGAAGAATACACTCCACATATGTTACCTACTGCAGTGTGCAACGTACAGTATAAAGTGGTGTTAGGTTTTATGTTTACAAAAGGGATGGGCCATAACCAAATATCCCAAACCATAACAATCAATGTAGCAGTTTTGTACCAACGGAAATTAAAAATGCTTCGGTATTTGAACTTGATGTTGGTAGTCATTTGATTTTTTTTCTGTGCTGTCTGTACTGTTGGCACTTGACATCAATTTGTTTTCTACAATGACAAGAAACTGAAATTTGATTCGACAAATGCCTACTTTGACTGCACTGCAGGGTTGTTGCTCGGTTTGTGCACCCTTGAACTCACCCCGGCTTAGACATGTCAGACGAATGCCTCAGAAGAGAGCCCCAAACTGACATAAACGGCATGCACATCAGAAGGAGCACAAAGCCTCAGACCTGACCTGACGGAATAACATTTGACATGTAGCTGAACCTAAATCCTTTAAAATGAGGACTTGGCATGGTGACAACGTCAAACGGAATTGCCCGATAGGCGAAAAGTGCAAAAACACAGAGTTCAGGAAATGACTTTCAAATGAACTCTGCAGCCTGGTGCACGAAAGTCGCATGCACGAAAATCGCTGTTTTATAATAGTCTGTCCTTCCAGTCAGAGTGTCATTGAAGAGGAGGGAGAAAGTTGTTAAGGAGGCATCCCCTAGAATATTTTCATGGAGATATTTTGTTTCGTCTTTTTTTTTTAAAGTTCGTCCCTCGTCCTTTTTTACCTTCCTCCTTTGAACTATAGTTATCTACAAATTTAAGCGATTTTGTGTCCCGTAGATCCTTGGTGCATTTGGGGATGCTCAAGTTTTATGTTTGTATAAATTTCTGTGTGCCCCTTTCCGGAAATGCTTCAGCCACCGCTGATAAGAGAGTATCCTGTTTTCACGAGCGCCCTCTTTACCGAAGAATAAAATCTTGATCTACTTTCACCGTAGATATGTCTCGCGCTCTTTTTTCGCATCTCCAATCACGGCTTAGCACGTTCGACCTGTTAGACAAGCTGGAGATAATTTTAATACATCTTACACAGCTAGTAAAAGTTAGCTAAGCTGACGGACAGACATTGCCTGCCTAACCCCATGAGGACTTGTGATCAACGGCCAGTTTCTTCCACACGGATCTGGATCTCGATAAGTGATCCCATCGCTGGTTCGCTCCATCCATTAGGCGGGTTTTAGTGTCAGTGAACCAACGACAGATTACTGATCGCGATCCGGATCAGCGTGAAATAAACTGGTCCCAAGGCTACACTCAAAAGTGAAAACAAAAGTGAAGACGATGATGTCACTTGTTGGATTTTCTTGTCAAATCTACATAAAAAAAAGTCATGTACATCTTCCGTCAATGCCTTTTGCCATTATGTTACTTTTTTCAACATGGTTTTGTGATCAGTGATCACCGACACTGGCACGCATTAGTTCATAGTTCGTGGTTATTTTATTAATCCCAAAGGAAATTACATCTCTGCGTACAAGCCTCATTAAAAACATACAAAAATTAGCATTCTAAAACATACTTATACCGAATATTATTAAAATACAGAATTAATACATTACAAATCATTAAAAATCATCAATACCACGTCTTATCAAAGTTCGTCTATTCCCCTCGTATGTTTCAAATTGCATGCAGCAATGGCCTTAGGGATGAAAGAATGTTCATAACGCTGTGTCCTCGTCGTCGGCAGTCGCAGTCTCCCACTTCGTTCGTTTCGTCGCTCGTCAAACTCACCTCCCAGGGGGTGAGTTACGTCACTCAGTATTTTGTCAGTCCTGTCTGTCAGTCGTCGGTCGTACGCTAAGTCAAATGTCTCCTGTGGTCTGCCAATCACCCCGCCAGCCTTCTTGATCACCTTGTCAATCCTACCCCTCTCCCTCCCAGACAGATTCCCGTCCCAACACACAGCACCACACATAAGAACACTATTGATTGCAGAAGAATAAAACGACTGTAAAATAACACTGTTTACATTGAATGATCTGAGTTTGCTAAGACAATACACTATTACTATATTCACTATTGCATTAGTGTTCTCCTGGAAAGTCGGTTTATTATTATTATTCCACAAATGAACTAAAAGGGCGCTGTTAAATGTTCTCTTTTGCTTTGGGTTTTTGTATATTTTTGTGTTTTTAGTTTTGCCTGTTTATTTGCAAGTTTGCTTTCGCGTTTTTGTTTGTTTGTTTGTTTTTGTACTGCTCCAGTGCCAGGAGGAAATACGCAATGCAAAATTGTGGCGTGAAATTAACGCCTACGGTGATGTTTCACACCGGACTCTTAGTCGGTCGATGGTAGGTCGGTTGGATTATAATCCTGTCGTGACTGACAGCGTGACTTAAACATTGTCTGTCTCCATAAAAGGCAATGTATGGCAAAAACATATACAAATTAGGCAGGGTTGTGTATAAATTAGCATTAATCAGGTGCGTGGAATGGGTATTCTACAAAGTGGATTTATATGTGCTTCCCGTTCACCAAAAATAGTTATTTATTCTCCACTCTGAACAGGAAAGAAACCCGATCATTTTGCAACAACATTACAGGTATAGACTCACTTTCAAGTTGAAAAAAAGTGGTTTTCATCCGGACAATAAAGAAGGCATGACATTTTATCTGTATTCGTACCGTTCATTTAGAACACAGGGATGGCAATCTTCGAATTCACTCATCATCTTCTTTCTCAGTGCAAATTAAGGTTTTTTCGAAATTTTTTTCTGGCATGGCCAGCGACTCAAGAATGATGTCAGGGATTCAAGATGGTTGACTCTAGAATGATGAGGCAAATTTCCCTTGACGCTCACCCTTCCTATAATACCGAACCCTGTACAGCTTCGATCGAGTTCCAGGGGGATAATGTAGGGACTGGGAACCAGTCTTTCTTGTTTATCCGTTTTCAGTGACACGGAAATTCCCGCAGCACGCAATACCAGGTCGTATTGTTGACTCATACATTTTTCGGTTTTAAATTTAGAAACCTTTCTGCCTATAATGAATACCTGAAACCGTGTGAATGAGCCATTCGGGAAATTCCAACCCATTCTCAATTCAGAAAGAATATAACTTCATTGTTGTTCAAGCTATACACGGACAATAAATCTTTAAAGTGAGTAAATGCGTCACCGTCTCGGTGCGCCCCTGCAAGCATTCCAACGTGATAATGTCGGAACATGCGTAAACCGGCAAGACAAAAATCCAAACAAAATTAATTGACACGATCAGCCATGCATTTGGTCACTTAATGAAATCAGCCGTAGTGACGAATAGATGCGTTGACATTTCAAACTCAATTTGAGCAGGTTGCAAAATAAAATATGTTACTGAAAATCCGTATAGCCGCGTATACTGCCTTTTCTCGGGGGGGATGGGTGGTTGTGAAACCATATTGTAGGTTGCAGCATAAAATATGAAACTTAATTACAGGTGCTATTAAACTGCATACATTCCTCAAATTGAAAAAAAAAACCAAACAAACAAAAAAAACAGTCGCCTTAACTTTGAAAGACTTGTCGATTCCACTCTAACAATAGGGAAAATAAAATATTCCTATTTACCTGAAAGATCATGTATGGTCAAAAACTTAAAAATCTGCCCGGACGTTCATCAAATTTCACGAATATACCACTGAAAATTCCCAAAAGTTTTGGAGCAAACTTCTGAAGTATGTCAAGTTTCATTTCTTAACCTGTCAGTATCGTTATATATATCGTTCACATATCAGCAAGCAATTTGCAGCAATTTATTGTATATCACTACCTCTTCATTATCTGTTTGAGTTAATGAATTCTGTCACCCCCCTGCCACCAATGTGTGTGTACATGCACGGCAGTCGCGACACCGTAAACTCTGGTCTTTCGCGGGGAAAACCGCAATTGTTTCCCCATATCGTCACAAGCGAAATTAACAGAGCGGTTCTGTTTGCTGAATGAAAATTATCCGACCTTTTCAGAAATGGAAAGCGAAACATCTACTGTTATTACAGGAAGAAGTACATTCAAGTGGAGTTAACCAGAATATTCCTATTTTCCTTAATATCGAACTTGATATTATATTAAAGAGGTCGAATCTCCGGATAAAGTCTCGCTTGATAAAAAAAATATTCCTTCTTTACCGTGTTTAACCATAAAAGTTTAGCAAACTTGAAATTTAGGATTCACAAAATAGTTATTTACTATTTAAAAAGTGCTATCTAGTAAAAACATCAGTACAAATGAAATCCAGGCTTCTCTTCCTTTAGCCTACAAAATGTAATGACACTGTTGAAGCCAGATTTAGTTTGCAACTACCGTCACAATCAATGCGGCTTCACAGCAGATTCATATTATTAGACCTATAAAAATATATTTTCAATATTTCCAAAGGCTCTTGCATATTCTCTAAACTGATGGAGGTGTATTTAAAAAATAGCAACATCCTCACACTTTTGTAAAGTCGAAATAACATTTAGATCTCTCGGATGTTCGAATAATCTTCCTTTGACTTGTGGAGGAACTCCTTTGTCCTGCTATGCCAGTTGCCATTTTCAACAAGAAGTTGGTACCTCCGCGTAAGACAACGGATGCTTGTATTCATGGCCTTTCCGCCTTTGACGAACCTGCAGGAAAATAGCAAAGAAGTTGAATAAATATACATTCATATTGCACAGTTTGTATACACTGTCGCGGCATTTCCAGATCCCAAGGGGGGGGGGTATGCATGCCACGCCCAGGGCATCGACTCTCACTGCTTCGCATCGGGACAAGCTAAAAGTCCAGCTTTGTTTCTCCAAAATGGCAGGGGATAGGAAAAGACTGACAGAGGGCTGGAAAACGATATAACAGGTATAATATAAAAAGTCCGTGTGAAATACTTACTATGTAGAAACAAACGGAGACACTTAAAACAATTGAGAGTGAAGACATTGCCACCGCAGCAACCGTCAGTGCAAAGTACGTGTATCTCTCAGGTAATTTGGGTCCTGCTGTCGGAACCTCTTCACCTCGACCTGTATAGCCTACGCCATCCGTTGATACTGTGAAAAAGTCAAGAGGCGCTCACATGTAAATCTGACTTGAAGCTTTGGAATGAATGAAGCAGTCAGCGATCGAGTTGTCCATTCATTTTACCCAATCCGCACATGTTTTCACATTTCACATTTGCCTCCTCGATTGGTTTTACGAATTAGTACTTCAACTCATGGATATCATGGGATTGATTATCTTAGTTTGATATTGGACTCACTATCAGGTACCTACCTGGACTGACAGTTGAGTTGAAATCGTACGTTGCAGTGGTGTGATGAGTTTTTCTAAAGCGAACCCTAATGAATTGGCTTCCGTTGGCTACAGCAGGTCCCGTTGCCTCACACACATACTCTGCACCATCTTCTACTGAAGTTACTTGGATTGATGTCGAAGTTGTGTAGGTGTTGTTTCTCAAAGACGAACCTAAGTGAATGGTAGAGCAGGGCAGATTCCGAGATAATTCGAATCACAAAGACTGACTTTTTAGCGAACCGTTATGACGACTAACGTGTCGGAAAGACATTTAAAACATTCTGAGCCTGGGGCAACTTCTCGGTCAAGATATGACAGATCGACAGAGATTCTGCTTTTACATCTGATTATGACAATTATCGCTTACCTGTGTTGGCCGGCAGAACTACAGGCCTGACCGTTAGGGAAGCGTTGAGTTCCGTGAATCCATCTAGATACAGACGGATCCACCTTAGGTGAACGGCAGGTTTGACCTGATTCACAACACAAGTCAGGTTGTGGGCCGTCGCGTCGCTTTGTATCCGTGCCTCGCACACTGGGGCAGCGCTGGAAGAGCTTTGATTGCAGCCGGTGACTGCAGGCGGCCGGCTGGGCACGACTACGAGCAAAATTTTAATAGCAAATGAAATAATTATTAATGAAACCATAGCAACTATTCTTCTCAGACGCCTTGAGGTTGCACTGTTGAAATGACTGTGAAAAAAAAAACATGAAGCAAGTCTTGCCATTACACTGAACTATGTAATTGACTTTCTTGGGTTATCCCAGAATGAATCAACCGTATCTTGTTTTCTCTGTGTACGATTGTTGCTTAGTTGGTTGATTTCTGAATAAAATAATAATAATAATTCCGAGGCGAGGTCAACTCGATTCATCTCATTAGTTAGTACGAGCGTCTTGTGCAAGGAAGCGTTCCATGAATGATAGAACTTGCAGCCATTCAGATAACTTTACCTATCATAATAATTAATGATATACTCTGTATTATTTAAAGTGCCTAGGGTTCTTTGATCTAACTATACAAGGTTGTGCTTCATCTACAAAAATCACAACATTTTACTGCGTGCACTCACCCTTGTCACAAACTTCTACTTGTCCTNGACGAGATCAACAGGGCAGTGGTGCTTGTTGTGCCGTAGTACCAATACATGGCGACTGTTTCTGCCAGGGTTACACTGCGAGATGTGATGGCAGGACATGGCACTTTCCCACGATGGCCTCGTTCCAGGAAGACGGTTCCCTCAATTTCTGCTCGAGCGAATGCTGCAAAGCCTGAATTCAAGAATGTCGGTTTTAAAATAAATCAACTTTATGTCAATGTTCGATCAACTGGCTGACCTGCCGATCAGTGACGAGACCATTCCAGAGACAATTATTGCAAATACTCACAGCAACGGCTTGTCATATTGACCAGATAAAAACTCAAATTTTAAAACGTTTTGTAGTTTTTTTTTAATGCATGCAAGGCGATAATATGTTATCTGTTTAAACTCTTTCCACGTTAAATGCACTTTTACAATATGACACCAAACTTTTAAAAAGTGATTTTCCCGCTGTTGGTTCCCGTCACAGAGAAATGCATGTAGATGTAGAAAAAGTTATAAGAAGTCTTATTTTGCCGGAGTATACGAGTAACGACGAGAATACACTGTTCAAATGTTCAGATTTGCTCGTCGCTAGCGTAGCTTTAAAAAAATCAGCGCTTGCTTAGAGGAAGTGAAAGGAATGGCTGGACCTCAAGCCACTGCATGACCACCTGCTGGGTGGTGAAAAGTGTGACAGTGTTACAGCCTAACCATCGAGTGGGTTTGGGTCAGATGGATGATTAATCGATACAAATCAGTCATTATCTTTTCAGTATGACAAGGCATAGTCATAAATGCCGGTGCCATCTTGTCCACTACAGCTACCATCAAAACTTCGGATATACTTACAGCACAACATGAAACCCGGTACATGTACTAATCTGATTTTCATCATTGTCCCGCCTCGTTACATACCGTGTTGTCGCCTCACCCGTTGCAATGACTATGACTTAGTTGACGACACGTTCGCTAACTGCGCAAAGTTGACTCGTCATGTCAGTCACTGTTACCATAAATATCTCTTTGAAAATCCCCACTTTGATCACGTGCTTGTAATTTAGGAAGGCAAAGTTGATCCATTGTTTCGACTACAGACAACAGCTTTATATATGATGTATGCCCATATCAAGTGAGATGTTATTTGTGCAACATTGACAAATAAGAAGGTGAAGGTTACATGCTGTGGTCTTCGTGCAACAGTTTTGCTGTCGACGGACATCAGATTCGCAGCTCGTGGTCTCATGCATGTAAAATGTGGGTCTCCACACGGTCAGTAACATTGCGCTTCTGATTTGAACACTGCGAAAATACATGGAAAGGACTGGACCGCGAGGTGTCCACCCCTTGTCAAAACGTGTGGGGGGATTCAAGCCCCTGGATCCTCTGACCATGAGCATCACCAATTGGCAATTAAAACGAGATTTCCCTTTGTTGGAAGCCGCGAAGAGATACCACTTTAATAAAAAAAAAAATCTGGCCCTTCTAAGCTTCTGTACTTCCCGTCAAATGCGGACCCGTGTTGGAATGCTTGACGTTGAACTCGAGGACCTCACATGCAACAGTGCGACCTTAGGAAAATCCAGTTCTCAAATATAGCCGTATATTCACTCTTACAAAACTGGAATATTCTGGGCGTTGATATCTGAAGTACGTTATAGTACACTCGATTATATTATACACGAGGAAGTCATGTAAGCCACTTTGTACGGAAATTACATGACAAAACGGAGAACCTAATTTCGTCACGCTATCTCTATGACTCAAACAACTATGCATCCCAATGCTTTATTCTTTTTACAAAATACTGTTTAATTTTAAATACTCTTTGACCTCATATATTTTACTGGGAAGAAATTCTCTGATCAGTGGCAGCAAATACACTGTAATGATATTACTCTTAAATCACAAAGCAATGCGGTAATTATTTGCTACAAAAAAATAATACTCCCCGATGCTACGAGTCAGTGACGCTGAGGATTGCTGAAGCCTGACATCGATACTATTTATTGACATTTAAATTCCTACATTCCGTTCTAATTGACAATTTATTAACAGGGAATCTCATTCAAAGAGTTAACCACGGGAAAATTGTACGTCCTAGCTTTTTGATATTTAAACAGACATAAGTACTTTGGAAGATTTGCATATTCTTAAGGAGGAAACCTAGACAATTTACAGCATGTTATTTTTAAGTAGATACATGCACATGTGTTATATTTATTAATGTGGCAAATAATGGGCCGGATTAAGTGGTCCGTAACGTGTCCAGGAGCACAGTGCTATATACAGATGATTGCTAGAAACAGATTACACAAAAAGTAAAACAAATTAAGCTTGACAATTTGCAGCATTTTATGTGTAAGTAGACATAATATTATGTTTACGAATGCGGTAAATAATGGCTGTTATGTCCAAGGGCACAGAGCTATAATTATACAGATAATTGTTAACATCAGATTACACAGATAAAAGTAGCACACACCAGTATACACTGAATGCGGCCCGAATGCCTGTTAAAGTAAGTAAAATGCAATATGTAATGTAATATAAATTACAGCCTAATAATGTAGGTTGCATCTAAGAGGAAATCTGTGAAATTCCTGTGAGATTTTAGAAATATCGGCAGCACGTGTGCAAGGTACCTTTATTCTGTAAGCTTATGATGTAGCCAACATTGGTTCTACGTCATCAGTTTTCAATTTATTTTCTTCCCAGAGTTGCTGGTTTAAAACCAAACAACAGAAATTGCACCAGAATCAGCAACGGCTGTTAATCAGAATAAAACTGATACTTGCAAAATGCAGAAAAGCTTTTACTGACACGAGGAGCGCTGAGTAGTATCTTTTTTACCTCTTCATAGTTCTTTTTCTTTTTGGAAGAGAATCATGTGGGTTTGAGACAACGTCGCCACGCCAATGTTTCAAGCAGAATGAATCTAAATTGACATCTTAATTGATATTGATGTCCATCACATTTCTTCAGGAGAGTTTTCAAAACATGACCAAGTACGAAGATCAACGCGTTACAGGCTGGAGACCAATCTGCCTTATTCAGATTACGAAAAAGCAAATGATATTTAGGCCCAAGATCACGTTCATTTCGTCCATTTGAAAAGATGTTATTCTAGTGATGTTCAGCGAACTACACTAAGTCTTGTTCTTGGCACGTTGAGCTCAGAGCAGTCGTTTGGCGCTGGAAGGCTGGAGCAAACGCAGCCCTTTCGAAAGAGACACTTCAGTTGGTTAATCCTCACGTGTATCTGCATAACAAGCAAGATAAAACGGTTCTACTTGGCACCAAGGAACATTCAAAATGCCTCCAAAAATACAGGCAATTAAGAGCACACCTGGATTTCACATTTCTAAAGAGGGGATGACCAGCCGCAAAAACCCTTTTGAAACCTCTTCGTGAAACGAAGATTGAGAGTGAGTTTGAGTGAGACACAACGGTGCATGTTGGAGGTTTGTGTTATAAGAACTCCATTGCACTGATTCAGAGCCTCGCCTCAGGCTCCAGCGCTCGTTATCATCGGGTTTCTAACTTGAATTTGCAGTGACTGTACTTAATCTCAGAAGGATCACGACAACACTGTCTCGGTGGATATTGTTTTATGCTTATTGTTTTGAAGTAATGATAGCATTGACCACCAAAGAAATTTTGACGGGGGACCTATATGTAAAAGGTTAAAAGCCATTACATACATTTACATATATCTTGTCTTCCTGGTCAATCAGCCTTAATACAGTCAACTACAAGCACACGTACGTGCAGTGCGCCTCACAGCGGCGAATTACGCAGTCGCTGGCACAATGTTTACTGAAAATTAGGCCCTTCCAAAAAAAAAAAAAAAAAAACGAGTGCAGTAAAAGCTCCTGCCGCAAAAGAAGGTATCTGTCACCAAGGAAATGGGGATAGGTTGGGGTAAAACCCCCCTCCTCCCCGAAGCTACACCCTTTTGAAGATGTCTTGCGGCGCTGGTGCAACAGAGATCGTTACATGCACCACTCGTTTTTTATCTCAAAAAGACAGTCATTGGATCACAAAACACAAACTGTGCTTTCTGACATTCCCTTGATTCTGTCACATGCGCAAATCCCTGACCCACAATAGTTCTTCCATCACCAGCATGTAACGTGCTCATGCAGTGCCGAATATGCATGTAGTGCTATTCTTAAGCGATATCATCACGTGTTAACACTGTACTACGAAGCATGCTTCAAAGACTTCGGGCAACGAAGGAGTGACGTCTCGCTTCATACTCCTAAACTGTTTTCAAAGTAGAGAATGACATCTTTATACTTACACTGTAAATGATGGAGGTGAAGCATAAGACAGAAAGCACAGCTACTACGGCAATCAGCCCTCGGTTTATTCCTGCTGCCTCAGATTCAGTTATTGTCACGTCATAATCCAAAGCGGGTGTTGTAGCTGTAAAAACAATCAAACAAGCTCGAACTTAACTTGTGGGTTTTTTCTCCTCAATTTTCAGACACTGAGCAAGTGGAGTGAGCAATGATTAAACAGCTGATCTCCGATGGTAACGGCATGATCGTTGACGTTTTAGCATTTCTGGAGAATGAATCGTTCATCTTACGGTCCAAGCTACCACTGAATGTGGTGGCGATTTCACACAGAGTTTACAACGGCAAATTTTGCAGTGGGTTTTTGGTCAGTTCATTCCCGTTTCTTCACTTTTAAAATTTAAAGATCTAGCACTGTTCCTAATCGAACCTGAGAAGACATTGGCTGCCCACCTTGTTTGATAGATGGCTGCATATCGTCACGTGTCGATGTGGTGTGGACATTTTTTGTGAAGTGTACTGTCATGCGACTGCCTCTGCCTACAGCAACACCCACTGCCTCACACTGATAGACTGCATCATCGCTGACATCGTTTACTTGGATGGATGCCGAAGTCGAGTACGTGTTGTTTCTCAACGACAAACCTGATGGAGAATTCCAAAACTATCTACTCCATTCATACTTGACCCCTGTAATAGCCTTTATAAAAAACCTAGAGGTAGGCATTTCCATGCAGTTTATAATTATTAAGTTTAGCGTTCCTATAGATAAGTCCAGTATATTTTCTCTTCGGATTTCACCGTATAGGAAATGGCAGGCGCAGTCGCTGACCCTTGAAAAGCTCTCACTGGTTTTGTAAGGACACATACATATATATTTTTGGCCAAAATATTTATTATAACTGACAGCATTTCAGTCGAGATAGAAAGCACTTTGGTACACCAGAGAACAAAACTAAACAAAAATATGACAATAGCCTTTCAAAAGAAATCTCTAATAAAGCCAAACATGTGAAAAGGCTGCCATCATTAACGGCTCCTTTCATGAGGCTTTGAGGATCAATCAAACGATAATAGCTACCTCTTGCCGTTAAGGGGACAAGTTTAGTGTTGGGGGACCAGGCGCGGAAATTTCTAACGACCATTTGGGAAGGCTATAAGGGTACTGGTGTCAGTGGAACAAATATAGAAAGGTTTACCTTTTAACGGGACCCAAAAACATTTTGCAAAAGCTTTAGCCAAGTTTTCTTGTTGCTGGAAAACTACGATTTTTTCTTGAACTGGAGAAAGGCAAACACCAGGGAAATACGGCGCTCTTACCAAGGAAAATAAGCGCAATTATACCGAAGATAGAAACCGAAAGGTAAGTGACATTGCAATCCGGTTCGTAAGTGACTTCGTGACAAAGGCAGACGCGCCACGATTTGTAGGCTTCCATTGGACGACCGCTGAAGTTGCGCGTTAACTTCCGGTTCCATGTAAACGGCAATCAATGCATTAACTCTACTTGCAGTGCAAGTGCAGTGGGCGTGGTTTAAACTTAAGTGACGTCACACTTACTAACCGGATAGGCGTCACGTCTACCAAAATAATGACAGGACTATGTGATTACTATGAATTGGTAATGGCATCGTTTACCAGTGTACGGGGGTAGAACTACAGGCTTGGTCGTGGTAGAAGCGTTGAGTTCTGTAAATCCACCTAGATACAAACGGATCCACCTTAGGTGAACGGCAGGTTTGACTTGATCCATGACACAAGTCAGGTTGTAGGGCGTGGCGTCGTTCTGTATTCGTGCCTCACACACTCGGTCGGTATACGAAGAATTCTGAGTGCAGCCGATAACGGCAGGTGGCCGGCTAGGTCCAACTATGAAAAGAGTTGAAAAAAGTAACAATGATTAATGTAACAAAAAACAACCAATTCGAAGCCATGAGGTCTTTAGGCCTACTATCCCTTTCACCCCTAAAAAACTGGTTTATTTTGGTCTGGGGGGGTTGAACTCGGCTGTGCCATGCCCTATTTTTATGAGACTTGGCATGGACGTACAGACACTCCTTATCATTTCAAATGTGACTTCTTGAATCAATCAGACATGCGCGCCAGTACGTGTGTCTTAAGCACCGCTGTGGAAAAAGTATACAATTTTGGCTGACCTGTCTCAGGATAATGTGCGCTACGCAAGAACAGTATGTTCAGTTTTTGAAACATTGGTGTCAACTCCTGAAAAAATGCACTGCAGCGATATCGGCAAAAAGTTTTTTGGGGGCGTTTAAGTTTATTTTCTACGTTTGCTTTACTAATTGAAAGGGTATCTTGCTCCGGTTTTGGTTTTATGGATTTTCCATATTCATGAGCGAGACTGTGATGTCACCCCCGGAAGAAAATCTCCATATGAAATTGGTTTGTGCACGAGAAACCTGCATTTCAAAGATGTGGCTGGCCTGAGTGAGTTCATGTACACAGTAATAAGCAAGCAAGCAACTGTTTCTCAAAAATTATTCGAACGAGTAAATTCTAAATCCAAAATTTGAATAGAAACACCTAAGTTGTCAAGAAAAGAAGTGATAACTGACAGTGTCCAAAGAGTGCATTTTTAATGCACTGAACCTAATTGGGATGTCAAAGAGTTTCGAACATAAAATAAGAGCGTGAAGTTGCAGAAATATTGTCCTGAGAAAAATTCATTACAGCTATACACTTTAAATATTTGCACGCGCACATGGTCTGTTGGGGAACTTGCAACCAATCAGATTGCTTTCAAAGAATCATCCCCTCGTACAACAGCCAATCATATATCATCTTCAGGGCCACTGGTTCCTTGATCATAAAGTTGTATTTTCAAGTCTCTGCAGAATTCACCGCACTCACCCTTGTCACAAACTTCTACTTGTCCC